TCTCCGAGGCAGAGTGAAGAAGGAATGCTGAAAGTTGTGGACCAAAGCTGGACTTGTTGAAGCACAGTTGTCTCCAGCACTTCAGAGGTGCAGGCAGAATGATTAGGAGTTCAAGGCCAGCCTCAGCTGCCTAATCAGTTCTGTCTGTCCAATCTAACCTTTCATTTAGTTATTTAATTCGGTTGCGGGGGTCGGGGGTGGGTATTTTCTTTGTTTCCTTGCAATAGAGTTTCACTGTGTAGCCCTGGCTGGCCTGGAACCCAATATATAGACTTACAAACTTAAGATCCATCCACCTGCCTCTGTCTCCCCGGTGACAGTACTAACATTGCATCAGGACCAGGATCAAACCGCTTTTAACAATTCTTATTTGGATGTTACTATTGATCGATAAATTACAATGGTCTAAATACCACACAACATACCATGGTATGTCATATGGTGATGGTTAACTCTTACTTTATTTTCAGTGTTGGCTTTCCTGAAACTAGAGAGGATTTAAGTAGCATTTTTTATTTTTATTTTATGTACAACAATGGGTTGGGGGGGTTGTTGGTTGGGTTCTTTGTTTGTCGAGACAGGGTTTCTCTTTGAAACAACTCTGGCTGTTTTAGAACTTGCTCTGTAGTCCTGCCTGGCCTCGAACTCACAAGAGATCCTCCTGCCTCTGTCTCCTGGTACTGCACGTGTGTGCCACCCACCTCCTTGGTTGTACATTGATGTCTGTGTGATAGCATCAGATCCCCTGGAAATAAAGTTACACATGGGAGCTGCCATGTGTGTGCTGGGAATTTAACCCAGGTCCCGTGGAAGAGCAGCCAGTGTTCTGAATCACTGAGCCATCTCTCCAGCCCCCCAAGTAGCATTTTTATGAAGATGTATCCTGTCACGATACAGGTAGAAGGCATTATGACGGCAGGCTGCTGACCCCAAGAGTTCTATAACAACACATGAGCCTCAAGAAAAAGAAAATTCCTTTCCTAGAAGCTAAAACAGTCAGAAACTGCCTGGTGTTCTCCTACCAGTAAAATATTGGACCCATAAACCCAATACACAAGCTGAACATTATTGTGTGCATAAATGCATGCACATGGAGAGATGATTCAGTAGCCACTCCATCTGAGGGAAGTCTTCACGCAGCCACTGTTCTGGTGGTGTAGCTCAGTGGTCTGGGGCCTGTGAATCCTTGGGTTTAATCCCCAGAGCCACAGACAAAGAACCAAACCAAACCTAGCTGTGCTTGGGTTTGTGCTTTCAACACACAGCCTGGATTGCCCAGGGCTTGCAGGAAGAAAAAAATCACCTTTTCACTCCGGGGCTAGGTAACTGTGTTGATAGTATCTATGCCCACTTTTGTTAATCACAGAGTCCAATTTGGAGAGGCTGTTGTTAAAACAAATGTTAATGTTTGGGTAGTGGAGCCTTAGGAGACAGAAGAAGGTCACCCGGGTACTAGCCCCCACCTTCTCCGCAGGGATTTCCTCCCAAAGAATGTCTGGTATGAGCTGAGGTGGCTCAGAGATTAAGAGCACTGGTAGCTCTTCCAGAGGTCCCAAATTCAGTTCCCAGCACCCACATGGTGGCTCACAACAATCTGTAATGAGCTCTGGCACCCTTTTCTGGCCTGCAGGAGTCCACGCAGGCATACCACTGTATACATAATAAGTAAATAAGTCTAAAAAGAAAAGAAGAGAAAGTATATCAGGTATGGGCATGAATGCCTTTAATCCCAGCACTCAGGAGGCTTTCTGTGAGTTTGAGGCCAGCATGGACTACATAGTGAGTTCCAGGACAGCCAGGGCTACACAAAACAACAAACAAACAAAAGTAAAGACAGCATCTCACTATATATCCATCATGGCTGTCCTGGAACTCGCTCTGTAGATCAGGCCGACTTCAAACTCACAGAGATCCTCCTGCCTCTACCTCCTGAGTGTTGGGATCCAAAGATACTGGACCACCAAGCCTAGCTTAATCTTTTTCTTAAGGACTTCAGAATTGGGGTTTGGTGACACATGCCTTTAGTTCTGATACTCTGAAGGCAGGGGCAGGAGGATCTTGGTGAGTTTAAGGTCATCCTGGTCTACACAGCAAGTTTTAGGAAGGCCAGGGCTACATAATAAAACCCTATTTCAAAATAATAGTAATAACAATTTCCGAGCTATTTTCTACATCTAACTCCATAATGTCCTCAGAAATCTGATATAAGAAGTAGATTTATTCTTTCTGATTTGTCGCTAAGGGAAACGAGCAAACACTGAGGCACTTGGTGATCATTTGGCCCTGGGGTCTTCCAGACTCCTCCAGCTGCCGCTAACACCTGCCTGGTTTCCTAGTCACAACACAACCTTTGAGGAAGCACAGAGGGAGCCCCGGCAAAAGGAAAAGTTAAAGGAGTTCATGAGAATCAGACGCTTATATAAACGAGCTATATAAATACAATATAAAAGTATTAAGAAAATACTTTAAATATTTACAAATAAACCTACATAACGTAGGCTTTTCTTTCTTAGCTCCCAAGGCTCATTTGGCATGATGATACCTGCCCCAGCAGTTTCAGTGACTGGGAAACCATAGGGACTGGAGTAAACCGCTTGTCTTAGCCATTCTTGAGGGACGATGGAGCCTTAGAGAGTCAAAGCCACAACTGGCGCTTGGGAATGGCTCCTGGAGGGGCATGGAGTTAAGAAGACGGTATTGAGTAGATCATTTCATAATGAAAAAGCTCGATTTTTTTTTTCTTCTGAGCTAAATAACCAAAAACAAAATACAAAAAAAGTACTGATCAGTTACAAGGATGGTTCAGAAGCACCTTTAAGGAATCTTCATCCTGGAAACTACGTGTTTGGACATTTCCGGGAGTAGCAGGGAAGCGACCAGTCAGCCTCTTGCTTGTCTTCACATCGGAATTCAGGTTACAGCCTCGGCCACTCCAGAGTCTATGCATCTCTGTGGGTGCCGTGCAGACTGGAGGCTATTTTGACAAAGCAACCAGAGCTAAAAGATTCAGAAAAAAAAAAATTCCAGGAATGGGCGATTCTATCAGGATTTGAGAAATTACCCAGTCCCAAGGTTCTTCGTAAGAGCCCTGGAGCACTTTGCAGAAGATGGCTCACGATAAAAAAAGTAGCTTGGCCGTTCTGAAGGCCTATCGCGTGTGCAGTAAAGATACATATTCCTCTGACCTCATCTGACTCCCACAAGACAGACAGGTGAGCTGTAAGTCAGAGCTGAGAGCTCCCCAAGGTCACCAGACCCTGAAATCGCAGTCTGTGGTGCAAATCACAGCCCTAGAAACACCTTGTTTCTTTTTCTGTTTTCAGTAGCTCATGTTGCCTTCTTTCCCTTGTTGGTTATGAATCATAACAGCGAGAAACCGACTGAAATGTGTTTTAATGCCTACTTAAAAACTGATCTTCTTGACTAATGTAAACATCTGACTAAATATTAGAAGTGACATCTTTGCCGCCATTTGCTTTTCAAATGTTGGTCTTATTAGAGGGTGGAATAATGCCACATTGTTGTTCACAGGGACAAAAAAAATAGCCAAGCAGAGCTTGCCTCTTCCTCGATTTACATGTCCCACACCAAGGTTTTATTCCCATATTTATCCTTTCTCTTGTGTGCGTTCTGGCAGCGTGGATGCGTGTCTGTGCACTGTGTCTGCAGAGGCCAGGAGAAGGTGTCAGATCCCCTGGAACTGGAGTTAAAGGTTATGAGGTGTCTTGTGGGTGCTGGGACTCAAACCTATATCTTCTGGAAGAGCAGCCAGTGCCCTTAAGCACTGAGCCATTTCTCCAACCTACTATAAATTTTAGGGGAAAAAGGGAAAAGATATGGTGCAAAGGGGCTCTTTTAGAAAGGTGAAGAATCGCTACTCCAAATTTGTTTTCTTTCTTTTCTTTCTTTAGTTGTTTTTTTTTTGGGGGGGGGGGTTGTTGTTGTTGTTTTTCGAGACAGGGTTTCTCTGTAACTATGGAGCCTGTCCTGGAACTAGCTCTTATAGACCAGGCTGGTCTCGAACTCACAGAGATCCACCTGCCTCTGCCTCCCGAGTGTTGGGATTAAAGGCGTGCGCTTTTTTTTTTTTTTTTAAAGACAGGTTTCACTGTGTAACAGCTTTGTTGACCGGGCTGGCCTCGAACTCAGAGATCTGCTTGCTTCAGCCTCCTGAGTGCGCCAGCACAGACCTGCCAGGTTTGAAGTCAACACATCCAAGAATCCCCTGCAGGTTTGGTCTGAACTGAGTTAGGGTTCTGGGAGCTAAACCCAGTCCCCTATTACATGTTAAGCTCTGTTAGTGAAATGTGTCCCGTCCCTACCTCTTCAGTCCTAAACTCATTTTCTACAGGTTTAGGGCTATTTTGGAAGATCTCAAGAGCCCCAGTATAACAGCAGCTGAGGTGAAGAGAGGCGCTGGTTGGAATTTCCTGGCTAGCCACGATCTAGAGCCCTTTCCAGGTGTCTCCAGGGAAAGAGCTCAGAGCTGGGAAGCCCCAGCTCTTCCCAGAGCGCACGCGCCCCCTAGCGTCCTGAGCCCGGCTGGACGTCTCAAGCGCCCCGTGCTGGGGCATTTGGGAGCCTCTCAAGAGGGGTCATCAACTCTAAAACAGCTTCAAACTCCAAGCACAAGGCGTCCTAAAAGTTTAGTGCCTAAACTGAGGCTGCGCTGCCGGGTTCTCACCATATCCCACATTTCCCCCAGCTGGCTTTAGCTATGACACAGTGTCATCTGAAGCGTCACTGGCCCCGGAGGGCCCTTTTTTCTTGGCCTGGGAGGCTCAGGTAGACGTTTGCTGTGGATAGCGGGGTGGGGGCAGGGGGGTTGTTTGCTGGGTTGCGTTTCAGGTGCACCCCCAGATCATCTCTGCGCCAGGAGGGGGCCGAGTCTCGGAAAGAGGGGAAGAACTTGTAATCGCGTGCAGCAGGACAATGCCGACTTTTGAACCTCTAACCACTAAGCAAACAACCCTTGTGCTCTTGCTCCACTGTCCAAACAGGGTTTATTGACAGGCGTTTCACGGCAACGCATAGCAACCGCGCTGCTGGCAAAGGGCTGGCGTGTGGGCGCGGCCAGAACGCAGGGCAGCGCTCTTTGCTGGGGCGGGAGGCACCTAGGGGCAATGGGGATCACCTGGCCCTGAACCCGGGGAGCTCCCGCCTCGCAGACGCCCACGCTGCTTCCCTCTGGTTGGCCAACTCCTACTTCCCGCTGGACCCCCTTTGCCAATCTAACAGCAAATTCGCCACTCAGAAGAGCGGAGAAATTGGGGAGGTGCTGCCAGGGGTAGGGGGTACAAGCGTCTCGCAGCTGCGCACAGCCTGCCCTGCGTGTCTCCTCCCTCCTGTGAGTCCTCGCCCGGGTTCAGGGCGCGGTTTAGTCCTAAATGGTGGGGTAAAACTTCCCTTCCCGGTCTTGCCCGGAGATCCAGACACTCAGGAGCGGCAGTAGATCCGCCAGATATGCAACCACCACTTGAATCTTAAACCATCTTGGAATTCTTGTGTTTGGGGAATGAGGGTGTGAGGACAAGGTCATTCCGGGTAATTCTAAAGGCGTGTAGACATAGAGGGCCCGTGGACACGTCTAGGGATTCGGAAGACTATATATATAGCCATGGAAATGTCGTCTGGAAAGAACAGAAAAATATTAATCAATGCTTGTGTCCACTTCGCGGGGCTAAAGGGCATACCTGGGCGCGCGGGGGTGTCACTAATGGAGGGAGTTGTGGTCTGTTTGCATTGGGAAGGGAGCTGAAGTCTTCTTACCCCACCCCCATGATTCTGTAGCAGCTGGGAAGCAGCTAGCCGTAGTGACGAGCATTTTGCCCAAAGGCACCCCGAGGAAAACCGCACATTCCACAGCCCTACGCAGCGCCCAGGCGTGGGGGAGGGGAAGGGCTCAGAACCTGCTCCTGCTCCTTCGGGCTTCTGAAGTTTAGGGGTAGGAGGCTTCCCAGACGACAACCTCCCCTACCTTCTTCCTTACCACCGTCACCCCCTCCCCTCCGCACCACTTCTAGCGTGCAATCGGAGAAGGTATTTCCTGGGGGTGTGAGAGTGGGAATAATTTCAGTCAAACTCCAAAGAAATCTCAGGATCTGAAATCTGGAAAATTCGTTTATCTTTTGTCTTTTTAGAAAATAAAAGTCGACCGTGTTCGAATTCCCCCACTTCCCTTCACCGCACATCACTTCTCTACCCATGGCTTTTTGAAAGGCTGGCTTAGTTTGTTACACAGATCAAGGACTCCAACCGCAGCAACACCTCCGTTCTTCACCAGCCAGAGACGAGGGAAAGGACAGGAAGTCCAGGTTGGCTCTGGCATTTACAACACAGACATACATTCAGCCTCCAGCAGCTCTGGTGACAGGCTTTCCAAACAAGCCCTTGTCGGCAGGGGCCTGGAGTTGGCTCACCACCCCCTCCTTTCACCTCAGTCCCTGAGCCCACCAACCCCTTCCTGGTCTGTAGAGAGAGCAGAAAGCCCAAGCCCAGACCACCTGAGGGTTCTGCAGACTTTGGTTAGTCCAGCCTTCTCCCGCAGCTGCCTCTGGCTCCTGCAGTTTGAACTGTCCCTGGCCCCGAGGCAGGATGGCCAGCTGGTTCTCAGAAAGCAGTCGGCAGGAAACAGCCATCTTGGCTCTTTCCCCAGCCTCGCTCCTTCCTCGGCTCCAATCAGAAATGCAGTCCAATGCTGTTGGCCAAGAGCTGGGGCAGAAGAGGCTGAAGGCTTGGTTGGTGCCTGTAGCCAGTCCTGGCAGGGAGCATGGACGAAGCCCCAGAGGTCACTTCCTCTGTCATCGCTGACAGGAAGAATCAAGAATGGAAAAGAGTGAAGAAGAAGAAAAAAACTGAACCATATCTTCCCCTGAGGCCCACAATCCCACTGGTCCTAACTTCTGTCCCCATTCTTCATCTGTAGGTATTATTTGTGGGTGGGAAGAGAGAGGTCTCTTCGGAGGATTCTAGCAGCGTCCACGCTCTTCACCGCTCAGCCTGGAATTGCTCTGCCGCCGCTACAGACCACGGGAGGAGTCACTGGGTGACAGTGGGGTTTAACACCCCTCCAGCTGGCCCCAGAACCCCAGGGACTGAACCAGGCACTGAGCCTTGCAGGGAAGACACAGGACTCAAGGGCTCGGGCACGCTCCTCAGTGCACCTGGCTGAGGCTGCGAGGGCTGTGGCGGAGGTGGGGCCGGCGGCGGCTGCTGCTGCTGCTGCTGTTGCAGTTTCTTCTTGTTGATTTTCCTTTCCTTGGCTCTGCGGTTCTGAAACCAAATTTTAACCTAGAAATGACAAAGTAGAAGGTAGTAGAGATGAAAAGAGGAAGCAGCAGCCTTCCAAGATCATCCTTGCCTGAGAAACCGTCTCCGGCTCTTCCAGAAGTTTCCAATCACTATCCCCTACTCTCCCTCACACACACCATTGAGCTTTAGCGCAACGTTGAAGCATTCGTTCCCAGACTCAATTCAGCCTGAGGAGAAGTGGCAATCCCATCCCTTGCCCCCCCCCCCCCCCCCCCCTTCCAAAAGACCCCCCCCCCCCCCCCCCTGCCTCCCCCCCCCCCCCCCCCAAGTGCGAGTGTTGGTGGCTGTCTCTCTTGCTCTAAATAAATAGCCTTTGTTCTCATCTGGGTGGGCTTCATATGCTTCCCCCCCCCCCCCCCCGTTGCTTTCCAAAAGAGCCTCTTGGAATCTCAGAACCGAGGAAGAGAAACCTCGCAGAAAGGTCCTCCCCCATGCAGATGGGTGGCCAGCTCGGGTGTGCTTCACGGGCATCCTTTGGCCCTCAGTGCAGAGGAACTGTACTGGTCTTCACCTTGGTGCCCGCAATGAGATTTCCTGTAAAATTTCCTGACTGAATTTGTCCTATTTTTTTTTTCTTTTCCTTTCCCCTATACTATAGAAGGCGTTTGTGGGCCAAGCGAAACCTCTTTCGTTTTTTTAAAGAAACAAGTTTTTATGTTTAATTATGTGTATGCACATATACAGAGTGAGATTACCCACAGAAGCCAGAGGCACTGGATGACCCCTGCAGCTGGAGTTACAGGCCACTGTGAGTCACCTGATATGGGTCCTGGAAACAGAACTCAGTCCTCTGAAAGAGCATTAATGGACTCTTAAATGAGGAGCCATACCTCCAGCCCCTGCCTCTTTAGTGTATGAGTAGACTGGGCCTTCATTTTTCTTTTTTTCTTTCCCCTAGTGCTGGGATAAAGAGAACATATCCTAATATAGTGATTGCCAATGTTCTTAATGCTGTGACCCTTTAATACAGTTCTTCATGTTGTGGTGACCCCAGCCACAAAATTACTGTGTTGCTACTTTGTAACTGTACTTTTATTACTGTTATGAATTATAATGTAAATATCTCTGGACCCACAAGTTGAAAATCACCATCCTAATAAGTCTTTATTGGCCCAAGTGGAGTTCCATGCTTGAGTAGCGCCTTGGTTTATCTTGCAGTTCTCAGATCCCTCAAAATAAAAAGCAATTCAGAAAAAAAATCAAGAAAAGACAACTGGTAATTTAAGGATTCCCAAAAGGAAACCGCTCTCTTCCTTTCACGAAGGAAAGGGTGGATGGACACTTGGCCAGGCTTCCTAGTGCTACCTGCCAGCGCCCGCACCCCATGCAGTAATAGCCAGACCCTGGGAAGGCAATTCCCACCTGCCTCTCCGAGAGTCCCAGTGTGGCCGCCAGCTCAGCTTTCCGCCTGATGGTGATGTATCGACTGTAGTGAAACTCCTTCTCCAGCTCCAGTCGCTGATGGTCTGTGTACACCACTCGGTATTTGTCTTTCGTCCTGGTTTTCACTGTGGAGGAAGGAGAAGCTTTGGCTAAGAACTACAATCCATCAGTCATAGGTAATGACAAACCTCCCTAACCCAGGAGCCGTTTCTCTTCCTTTACTGATGTGGTGGGGGGAGCAGGTGTAACTGTCTACCAAGGCTGACAATATCCACCACAGGATCCAGGGGAGGAGAAGGGTGTGAGCCTCAGGGCACAACTAACTTCTCACACAGCCCCCTCCTACCCATAATCCAAATATAGTCTATTTAGGACCAGAAGAAAGGGAGGTGGGGGGAGTGGCCAGAGTCCCCAGGTATATAATATCCATTTTCAGGTTTACTAGAAATGACAGCCACCTTTAAAACACCTGGGACTGTGGTGTCAGGGTAAGCTGTTGGGTTTTCCCTTTGTCTCAATACAGTGGAAAGGTGGGTGCAGGAACTGGCCGCTTCCTGAAAGCCACCAGAATCATATTCTAGATACAGTAACTAATCCTGCTCTGGAATTCTGAGCTGGGCTCCAGAACATCAGAAGGACAATCCCTCCTGCTGAGAACACTTCATTCCTGCCCAACCAGGTTTGGCCCAGGGCAACTTTTCTTTTTTAATTCCCCATTTATTCCATGCGACAGCTATCCTGACCAGTGACCTATGATCATTGGATTGAGTCAACATATTAAATCTTGGATTGATTGTTTTACTGAAGGGCCTTGACAAATAGCGCGGGACTGCTGCATCAGGCTGGAGCCTGTCTATTCACTGCGTCTGTCGTGGTTGCTTTTCGACAGAATGCTGGCCAGGAACTGTTCCACGTCTCAAGTTGGAGAGGTTTCACAGCAAAGCAGGTTTTAGCGCTCAGTGCCTAGTCGAACAAGGAGATCTAAGGGGTAGGAGTTGCCCAGAGGTGTTTAAGGCCCCGCAGGCTGACTTTGTTCAGGTAAAAACCTTTGCAAACCACAACAAAAGCGCCCTGGGAGGATACAGGAGGGATCAGAGAGCTCCCCCAGCCTCTGAAAGGGGAACACAGTCGCAAACAATGCAGGACAAGGCGATCTTATCAAAGAAAAGCCCTTTCAATGCTTTAATAACAACCGCATTCTGTTTGAATTACCACTACTGAGCAAATGGCGGCCTCAGCTTTCATCCCCCTTCCCCGCCAGGCGCATTAACATAAACACAGCACCGCAGGCGCATTTGAATGGGCGCTGCGGCCTCGACCCCGCGCCTGCTTTGGAAGAAAAGGGATCCAACACATCCTGAACGCGTTCACACCAGCCTGAAACCCACTCTCGAGTGCCCCACTACACAGAAGACGACAGAACCAGATCCGGGTGCGCAGCTCGAATTGCACAACACTTGGAATCCTGAAGGAAACCATTAGAGCTGGGAAGGGAGGCACAGGACAGTTCCCCCAGAGGTTCTCGCCTTGGGATGGGTGCTGCCCGGTCAGCACCACGCGCGAGCTGAGGAACACAATGATAAGGAATCAGCGCTCTGAGGTCCGCTCCCTCAAGGGTCTGGGAGGCGGCCCCGCACCCCCTGGGAACCAAGCAGGGGGGCTGGAAGAGGGGTGGGATGAGAAGGAGTTGTCAGAATTCATTATTGACTGCGAAAGTCACCACCCTCTTTCCGGGCCCTAAAAGAGACAATGGCTGGGCTGAAAAGGTGTACATCAAAGCTGGCCGGGCGGCGTACACGCCTCTGCCCCTTGACAGATGACGCTCCGCAGAGGAGTCGGGCTCCGGCGCTGCGGGCCACAGCCTCCCCACATTAACATCACAAGGGCGCCCGGCGCCGACAGCGGCCTTGCCACTTCGGCGCGGGACTTCACAGCGGCCTCTCATCTGCTGACCCCGCGGCCAGGGCTCCTGAGGTTATCCGCCCCCTCCCAGGACCCCAGTCTCGGACCACCCACCCCCTGTACGCTAAAGGTCTTTCGTTGGTCTAAGACCCCTGCCGCAGACCTCCGCCCATTGTGTCCTTCAGGCAGACTGGTGCAGGGAAGGTCTAGGAATAAATCCTCTTGGAAATGACCAAGCCAAAGCCCACTCACTGGAAGCTAATCTGTAGCCTTCTGTCCGACAACATTGCCCACCAGGCCGCTCATGGGGTGTGCTCAGTGACGCAGAAGAGCCAGAGACAGGCCCCCAAGTGCCGCTCTGATTTATACGGCTGTAATTGGCTATAAACCTCCGTAAAGTGGCCATAACCTGCATGTGGCCTGGCTGTACTGACTAGATGCAAACCGAGAGAAGCGGAAACTCAAAGAGCTGAAGAAGGTTCCACGGAACAAAAAGGGGACTCTAATACCACTCCTCTGTCACACTTTTCCCACTTCCTACCCCCCCCCCCGGCGCACACACACATAGGGACATCAGAAAAGGCAAAACCGACAACAGTCCCACAGTTAGGCAAATCTAGGGTCTTTAGCAATTATCTCCCGAGTCTGGAATACACAACACGCACAGACACACGAGATCCTTGAAGGTTAGGTTAGAGAAAAATGGCCCACGTCTGAAGAAGCTGGGTCCGTTCAGGGATTCCTCTCCCTGCTTCTTGCTCTCTGTGATGACAAGAGAGGACTTCCGTGGGAGACTTTGCTTAGCAGAAGGAAGGGTCAGGGATCCTGGAACTCCCCCTTCCCCTTAAGCCAGTGCCTTCCTTCTCTCCAGCAGGCGTACAGCAGCCTCTGGTCTCTGCTCCAGCAGCGCTGACCCCTTAAGTTGGCTTTAACGGTCAAACTGGTCTTGTTCAATCTCCACACTCCCTGGCAATTACCCCTTTAGGGGGTACCTCAGATGGAGGAAGGAGAGTGGGTAGCTAAGTGGTATAGGCACGGTGAGGGGATCCAAGGCCCCCTCTTTCGGCTGGGAGGTGTGTAAGGAATGCCGGCCGTGTGATTCTGCTCGCGGCGTAGAGCTTACGACATTGTCGGAAGCTTCCGAAGGTATCCCGATGTTGCCAACGAGGAACTGTTAGAGAGGAAACCATTCCTCTGCCCTAAACAAACGTGTGTGAGAAGCACAAACTATGCACATCTGGGACCGCAATCAGCAAAAGCCCCCCCACCAGGGGTCCATCCCAGTGGTTTTCCCCTTGCCCCTCCTCCTCTACTGGCCAGAAGCTCGCAGACTGCCGGCGACAGTCCCAGTGCGCGCGGGACCTGGGACGCGCCCCAGCACCGCTTACCTTGGCTTCCCAGGGACGGCTGTGCGGGCTTCCGCATCCACTCGCACAAGTTTCGCCGCTGGCCGCTGGGCGACAGCTGCTCGGCGGCGGCGGTGGCTGCCGGCCCCGGAGGGCCGGGGTTGAGTGTCTGCAGCAAGCCGGAGGCGCAAGACGGCGCGGCAGCCGGATGGTGCGGGTGGTGATGCGGGTGATGGTGAGCGTGGTAGTCGGCGGGGCTGCTATAGCCCATAGCGGCGGCCGGGGAGCCCCCGTTGAGGCCGTGGGCTACAGCGTTGGCCGCAGCAGCGCCCCCAGGCGCGTAGCCGTTCCAGTCCTCGCGGAGAGGGGCGCCGTACGCGGTGGGCCAGGATGGCCCTGGCGACTGAGCGCTGTCCAAATTCGCCGCGGCAGCAGCCGCGGCCGCCACGTGGTAACCACCGTAGTCCGGGTACTGCGGGGGGCTGACAAAGTTCTGCGGTGCCAGGTTGAGGCCGCCGGAGTGGCGCACGGAGCTGGGGTACATGCTCACGTCCTTGTCTAGGAGGTAGCTCACGTACATGGTGGCGAGGGACCAAGAGCAGACCTCACCATGCTGCCTGGGGACGAATCCTGGAGGCTGCCAGAGGCGCGGGGCACAGAGGGCTAGGGACGCAGGGGCGCGGGGAGCTGCGGGTGGCTGGCTGCACCTCAGCCCACGGTGCTCCGCTGGCTCCTAGCGGCGCTCCTGCCTCCGGGGCAGTCCCTCCCTCTGTCCTGCCTCCTCCCTCTCTTCCTTCTTTCCTCCCACCTCCTTGCCACTAGGCTGCGGAGGCGGGGGAAGACCCGCCACCACAGGTTGGTTCGCGGAGTCCCAGGCCAGCGGCCTTACGTGATTAACGAATGTTTACAAGACTCCATTAGTAATGACACAGACACCAATGGCTGGAGACGTCGAGTCGCAGCGCACCGCGCTCACAAACCCCCAGAAACACGATTTGCATTTTAAAAGAAAAGGGGGGGGGAGCTCACGAGAGGGCAGGGACCAGATCACAGCTAAATATTCAATCCTTTATTGTTAAAGAGCTTCCTCCTTCCAACCTGGTGCACTTTAACCTCCAATCACAGGTTCAAAGAATGAAATCAAGAGACTTGCAAAAAGTCTTGGCGGGGGGGGGGGGGGG